CCCCCCCACCCCCCCAATTAGAAAATGTGTACATTTTTGGCGGTTATTTTCTTAGGCAAAAATTCTAGGCCTATTTTAAGTTCCGGTTTTAGAATTAACAGTTTTATAGGAATTACCAAAATTTTTAATCGAAAGTGTTGAGCGTTTTGCTTAACATATGAAAAGATACCTTTACATTATGCTAGTTTAATTCTCAAAGATACTCCTTCACAGAATTCATTGTTTTTTGCCGGAAATGGATAACATCCGTTAAAAGGTTTGCTAGATCTCAGGTATATAAACAAAAGTAAATAAGAATTCAAAATATGAGGTTCATGGTCTTTGTTTAATTACTGAAGTAAGGCCATTTACTGTTCTCGAAATATTATAGTTATAGATTAATTGCATACTGATTGATTAATAAATTCGAGACAGTTTAGGATTTTGGCTTTCCAATAATCTAATTAGTGCATTACAGCTTGGAGGGGGTGGTGGCGGGGTCTGAGGAACTTTCTTTCTTATAGAATGATATTGAAAGATCTGAATTTCATCTTGAAATGCCTTTTGGCTTTTGTAATCGTCAATAAAATCGTCGGAAAATAGCAAAGTAAAAGTGAAGGCATGTCAAAGGTAGAGTAGCTTGTCAAATAAATGGGAAATTCCAAATCAATAAATACACGTAAATACTTACTCTTCATTGTAAATTTATGCCAACAAAAATGGCGGATTTTTTAAAAATTTATTTAGCCTAAGTGTTTTAACAAATCGATAGAATACTACTCCATCTATTATGGCTGGGCCACTTCACCATCCTGCAAGTCGTCGTCAATATATTCAGCGAATTCCCGCCTACCTTCCAGTGGAGGCTACCAAAGTTTCCTACTCACCAATCGGTTCCTGGAGAACCGGGAGTGTGGACAGCAAGAGTGCATCGATTTCTTCCGGCTATGGAACTCCGAAAGCATGTCAAATGGATAGCTGCTGTCACCATCATTCGTCAGCGTCTGGTTTCTCTTCCTCCGAAGCTGCACCCATCATCTACCTCAAACATAGCGATTCGAATAAAAGCTCTGACACTTTGGTTGAGGACAATTTTTGCACGGGAAAAAAGAGGTCTTATAATGCAATTAAGCAGAAATCAGGTTGGTGCTCAATCACTTTTCGTTGCAGTAAAAATTATAATTACCGACATTTAGAGATATCTAAAAGCGTGTAGAAAGAACCTACCCTTAATGGCCCATACCTTTAAATTACCATTGTTTAATGCCTTAAAGACATTTAGCTGCCTCAAAATTCTAGTGAACAAAGTAAGCGGTTTGCATTTATGCTAGACGTGTGAAACGTGGCTTGTGTCGAGATAAGAAAATCGATAAAGCACTTTAAGAATGCCAAAATGATTCTCAATTTAGTTTCTACTTTCATTTTGAAATAAATAACTTTCGAAGTGGTGTGCCTTTTCTAACTTTGATTACTGGATCGCGGCTTTAAATATAGTTTTTTTAAAAGTGTAGTGTTATTACCCCTATATAAAATATTCTGTATTGTTTTGCAACATTTGAATAATTAGGGTCTCTATTTTTGAAGGGAATGAGCCTAATCGCACCAGATATCGGTTTAACGAAATATGAGGTTTTATGGTCAATTGTGCCTTGTAATCACAATTCTCAAATACCTATTCAATTCCTGTGATAGATAAGTACGTTTATACCCACTTATGAGAAATTTTAAGAGATGAAATGGAAATATCTATCCATTTGCGCATAATTTTAGCCAAAATGACAAATCAGTCCGGTTCTTCTTTACTGACTTTTGCAAATTCTCAATCTATGTTATAAAATTTGTAGTATATTTATTTTTATCAAATGACATTCTCGATCATAGTTATCATTAGCCCTTCGTTCGACTTCAGGCTTCACAGAGGGGAGGAACATCCATGTCGCAAAAAGTGGATAGGAGAGTAGGATAGTAATTCACAGGTCCAAATGGGATAGACACAAAGGTAGAGAATAGGTGAGGTGAGTACTGTGGAAGTGATCGAATATGACACGCGTTCGGGTCATGTTAGTTCGAAGTCAGAAGTCAACTATCTGGTTATAGACATTTTTGTCGTAAGAGTATGCGTTGCTCAGGGTGCACCACTTGGAGGTAAGTCTATTAAGCACCCCAATTAACAATACTTGAACCGATAGAAAACTCGTAATTTTTGTGACCATTCAGTCTTCCTCAATTGGATTTCATAATACAATCTATTGTTGAATCTGAGATAAAAGTGGTGGGTATGGTTGAATTTTTATTGTTACAATTTACTTTAGCGGTATGGAGATATCCAACCATGACGTTCACTTTATGGAATAGAGTCAGATGTTTTGACGTGTTCATAGAAAAATTTCATTAAAATATTTCTTTCTATTAGTTGCGCATTGGTTTAGTCAAAGCACTTATTTATCAAGCGAACCCGCAAGATCACTTAAAAGCATGTGAAATTTTGAGAATTTAAGCCTAATTTGATTAAAATCAGAATTTGTTAAGAAAGGAATTATGGAAAATTCGGAAAGTTATAGTGGACTTTACATTTATTGATTGAGCCTCGCTGTTTGTCATTATGTGTAGAAATTTAAGTGACTAAATTTATTTTAATGACGATTTCATTTCTTATTGGAGCGAATTTCACATTTCGTTCCTTCCTCTTATACTTTACAAAATTAATTGCTATGCCATATAAGCACCAACGCAAATCTAATGCAAAGTAAACGTGTATATTCTCATTTCATCCACTGTACCGATTTTACCAAAAAGTTATAATTTATTTATTTCAATTTTCCAAAGTATCAGAGAATTTTGTTATTTTTCTAAAAAAATAATTCATACGATCGATTCCCATATAATCTTCTGGGATCCTGATTACGCATTATAAAATACGAGTAGCTAAGAGAAGATAATTTTATCGGCTATGTGTGTTAAAATAATTTAACGAATTTTTAAATAAATGTGTTTCGTTGTAGCTATTCATCATGAATTTTTTTCTGCGTTATTTAAAACCTGCCTAACCAGAAACAGTTCAAAATTAACTTACTTTTTCTCCAAGATTTTACACTAGTTGGAGAGTTTTTTCCGAACGCTTATTTACCAGATTAAATTGTTTCAGAAATTGATTTTAGCGCCCATTAAAATCATGCAAATTAAAACAAACTATGCTCATAATTAAATAATTTATCCGGTTGAGGTGCTCTTGAAGAATTTAATTCACTAATTAACATAAGTGAAGAGCTTTTAATTATGTGGTTTCTAATCCAGAAAATTCACGAAATCAGCGACTTTTATCGAGATTAGATTAAACATAATCGATAAGCAATTTTGAACTTTTCTTGATCAAAGTGGTCACTTAGTCTCAGTCACGAGCGTGCCCTTCATATCATAACAATTTGAGACCTACGAGGAAAAATACTTGAAAACTAATAGAGAACCCATCTTAATTAGATCGCATTGCATTTTACGATAAAGTTTGGAAGTACTCAGACTGACAAACGGATTACTATCAATGGCCAGACCTTGTGAAACTGTATTCTGCAGATAGGAACAATTATTAAAGAGGGAAAGCAAACGATATTTAAAACTTTGAGCCTGTGAAATGAAACAAAAATTCCTTAAAGTTCTATCCTTTTTTATGAATTCGTGTGGTATATTTAAAACCGCTATGCTAGAATAGTGTACAGGTATAGGGGGAAACAGGTAGACTTAGAGTTCTTGGATTGAAATTTCCCTCTCACTTCCACTTCATTATAGCACATTTCGCATATCCGGCCTTATTGAATTGATAGCAAAGGGTGGTTATGTGATTGCAGTTTCCAAGACACGTAACTACAGATCGTTGTTAGCATAGCAAATATTTACCAATCATCATCCTCTCAATGAGTGTTAAGTTTATAAACTTAATGTTGCTAATATCTCCATAATTACTTGACATATTTGGACATTAATAGAATTTGATAACCTATAAAAACATTACTTCTGAATTTCATTATTTTATTTGACATAAATAATCGGTCATACATTTTAGGTGAAATATGCCATATCCACTCCCGCGAAAACTCCGTGCCTTCGAATCGTTATTATCCAGACTTTAATCCGCCAGTGCCATGTCGTCGTCATGAATCCGGTAGACAACCAGTTGCAGAAAATATTAGGTCTCTTGAGAAGCATCAGCGATCACCTCAAGTTTATATGAGGCATGCTCATCAGGGTGACAAGCACCGTCATGACTTCTGCCCTGATCATAGGCGTCATCAGAATGTTTCGCGTCACTCCATGTACCTAGCCTCTGATAGCAATGAATCGTGGAAGGATAGTAAAGATGATTATTGGCCAATTGGTCTAAATTACCCTCCTAGTCACACCAAGCTTGGTAAGCTCTCACTTACCCACTCAATTGACAGCCAATTTGGTCACTGATGAATGCTTAAAATAATTAGGCACCCATTAACAGCCACCTGTGTGTAAGTTGTTAAGGCAACTCAAAACGCAGCTAGGAAACGTTTAGTGAACGAGTAAACAAAGCCACGACTATGAGCACAGCATGTGCCTCTATGCCTAGAGCCAAGTTGAGAAATTGACAACTTCGCGCTAGCTCTGTTATTTAATTCAGGAGCAAAAAATGGTACAATTTTAAGTCATTTTACATGTGAACTTAGTTGGAAGTGATGGGTTTTTACTTTGCTTAATGCGCCTTTATGCATGTTTGCGAAATAGAAGTTGACAATGGTTCCATCCAATAAATGGAAAACGTCTTGTTTCAGTTGAAAAAATTGGAAAAAAACATGTTTACAATTTGATATCCATTGAGTTTTTTACAATTCAAAAATATGACAATTGCTTTTCGAAAATAATATTAGAAGTAATCTAGATTGAGGCATCGTTTAATAATTAAGTAAACTCAATTGAAATACGATCATTATTCCACCCAGCAATTGGACAACTTTCTTTCGATAGCCACCACTGGGATCTGCAGTCCTGGAGACGCAAAATTGACAATTGCGGCATAGAAACTAAGATCTTATAACCTGTATATAAGTGACTAATTTCACCATAAATGGCCATAGCAAGTTGACTATTGATTTTTGGGATGATTGACGTCATTTAAGGAAAACTGGCTTGTTGAAGTTAAAGTGAATTTAAAATTTGGGGTTTTAGGCAATTGGAAATCGGAGATCAATCTATTCGGTATGTTTCGTCATTTTCGCATTTCTCTCTCAGGCAATGATTTTAAATCTTTGATTATTGAACTAAATTATGCATATTTAAAGATGCCCCGTGCTTAATAATCAAAGCTTTTAATATTTATTTCAGATCCACAAAGGTTCAAAGTTGATGGTTCGTTGTTAGAATTTAGTATTAGCGGTTTGCTTGTAACACATAAAATTTTTTTCAAATTTCAAAAAAATTAATTGCTGCAATTTATAATTATTGATAAAATTAATACCTTTGAATTTTTTTCTCCCTTTCCTTATTTCTATTTTCTTTGTCCAGTCAGCACACTTGATGAGGAAGCCACTCAAAGTATGTCACAAAGTTCGATTGTATCGATTTTAGTAGTGTTTATGCATTTAAAGAGTAATTATATTAATTGCAGTCTACAATGAAATTCTGGACGTTGCAGGCAGTTTAGGTAAAAGATTTGCTATAAAATATGCGAGTCTTAATGCGTCAAAATCCAAGAAATATATATTCTTCATGAATTTGGTCAAGCCTTATAAAAAAATATCATTTCATACTTGTAGCTTACGAAGATCAGAAGATAAAAGATGCTGAAAAACGTCTTTCAGGTGTGAATCAGGACCAAAGAAAGTTACAACAAAGATACAAATCAGTAAGCTTTTTTTAAAGTAACATCTTTTGCCTTGGAAGGTTACCCAAGTTACCTAAATACTAATTAGCTCAATTTTTTGCCCTTGGATCTCTTACATAAACCATTGGTCTTGATTCTGACCAGCGTTATCCGATCGTCGGAAATTTGAGTCTTGGTTACGGTGATTCATCCTTATCAGCAGCAGGTCATACGCTAATAGGTGTATAGATTTAAAATGCGAGTATATTACAGCAAAGTTGATAATTAGTTAGCTTCACCTTTCCCTTGAATTAACGCAAAAGAGCCGTAGACTTCGATTTCTATATTATTTGAACCATATAAAATTTTAATTTTAAGCGAACTTGTCAATCATAAAATCAATGGCCGATTTTCAGTCGCTTGAATGCAAATAAAATTTTCTTAAAATATGCAAATTAACCAAATCTAATTTTTCTAAATTTAGTTTAATCCCCAAAATGGGTCCTTTGAAAAGGCCGCCTCTCGACCATTTCCAAGACCTTTGGACAGGTAATTGTAACAATCTCTCCTTCTATATGTATATTCCTACTCTATTCCAATTCAGCTATTGAAAATGGTGAATTTTGAGAAATAATATCATTGATAAAAAATTTCAGCTCTCATTTAAAGCAGTCAATCAAACAAGAATCAGAATTTTCGTAAGTTTGTTTGGCAAGAGACGCTTTTCGTTTGAATGCACGCTGTCGATTATAGATTAACAGACCCACCAATAGGAACTTTTTACTTTTGCTGAAGGGGCGTGTTGAGTTACAGCTTCAGTTGGCAGCGGTTTCGCTTTTTAATCATAATAATAATAGTCATTAGTTTAAGCTGACAACAAATGCTTGAATTATGTTGAGCATTCAGTTGCACAAATTTCTTTTTTAAATTATTTCATATTAATTTAATAATTTTTGTGTAGTAATGTTTTGCTGAATTTTGTCAAATAAAATACCACGAGTCAATAATCATTATCTACTTTTTCAGTAAATCATACAAAATTAATAATAGTAATTGATTTATTTGCCCTTATTAAAGTTAATATTAACGCTATCTTCAGTTTCAAGCTGCATTAACAATATTTTTTAGAGGCAGATTTAATTAAGCAGTCTATATTACGTTTTTAGAAGGAGATCAAGGAGGTCAGATTATGAGCGCACACCAACAAACGCCCCTTCTCCATGGGTACTCAATGGTCACCAAATCAAGCATGCCCAAGAAACAGGCATTTACACACCCGACAGTGATACTGAAAGCGCCTTAGCAGCCTTAGATAATGCTGTCAACTTTGACTTTCAATTTCCATCAGCCACTAATGAACGGAAAAAAAGCATATCCTCAGGCCCTATACCAATAATCCGCGAATACATTGGAGAAACTGAAGACGATTGGTGGAAGCTTCAGGCTCGCAACTTCAATGGTAAAGAAAGTCCAACCACGTACAGTGTGATCGAAATTGACGAAAGCAGTGAGGAGGAGGAGGAGAATAGGAGGAGGGTCGTAGCTCTGCCTTTGGATGAGGTCGAAAAGAATCTTCTCACTCCCATTCATGCCCTCCATATTGGCTCTCTGAACCAAAATAGTGGCAGCTTCTCAGAATTAACACCCATAGATGACTTGAGCTATATGTCAGATGTTGATATCTAGTTATATAAAATTTTTTTCTATGCCAAAATATTTATGCATGATTGTAATAACCACGAAACTGACGCGCGTTTTGTATGAATAACTTTTTTTCGTATTAGCGCATGCAAAAAAATTTTCGGTATCCTTCGGTTTCGATATTACTTTCTTTTTACTAATAAAATTAAGTATATTCTTTCTTTCGGTTTGCGTTTTGAAAGACACAGGAGTCAATCCTTTGGCACCCACTTAGCAGTAACTCTGACCGTCAGATGAAATAGTTCGTTAGAAAGGAGATTGCAGGGCGGTTTCACATCCAGGTTGTCTCGTTGTCCTACGATCGGTTGAATATGAAACTTGACGATTGAAGTGGTAAAAGGTCATTGCGAAGATGGAGTGCGCAGACATGGCCCAGCTAATAAGTGTCAGAATTTGATTACTGAAATTGTCCTTTTTTCACCAACTTCGCAGTATGTAAATAATTATCATACTTGAACTCACCTCTTCAATATATTGCAAGGGTCTCGTGAATTAATTATTGAGTGATAGGTTACTTACTTATGTTTTGAGAGGTGGAAACTGGACAATAATAAGAGTTTTATCCATACCATTCCAAAACACTCTTAACATTCCAAGGTTACCACGATAATGCGAAATCATATGCTTATCCACGATCGGTGTCATCAACTCATGGGAATGATGTAGTTCTGATAAACTCAGATGATCAATCAATTTCATAATTGCCCGATGCGGATTGAGAACTATGGGAAAACCACATCTTGACTGGATCAGATCACAATACACCATGTCAATTAAGTAGTTTAAGGTGGATAAAAGCAGACGCATTGAGAAGCATTCGTATGGCCCGACAGTGAGTATGGATATCACAAATTCGTCATTCCTAAAATTATGGTTATACAATTTCAGCCAAATAGTATGAAAATGATTCTTTTTTAGTTAAGTATGTTTGGCAAACAGAAAATTGTTGGACACATTATTAAAAATAGGGGGTGTGCGATAGACTTACCTCCACGTGGTGCACCCTGGGCAAC